GGGGGGGGGGGGGGGGGGGGGGGGGGGGGGGGGGGGGGGGGGGGGGGGGGGGGGGGGGGGGGGGGGGGGGGGGGGGGGGGGTACGCAGACCGTATCTCTACCTCAACTTCTTCCCCGACTGCATACTCTATGTCCAACACGTTTGCTTGATCGAAACACCCTGCGATGGATTTTGGTAGGAGCAGTGGCAGCCAGGAGATCTCTTGTATCCGGGTGGTGTCGTTGCCGTTTTTGCTACGGGCATGGCGGTTATCTTGATGTGGTGTTGCTTGCCAGCACCAGGTAGGGAAGAAGGATACTTGCGGCTTGAAGTACTGTACGACGGACGACAGATCGATGCACCATCCGTGGTAGAGTGGCGGCGAGAGGGAGATGTTTCCATCTAGACTGGCTGTACTGAAATAATGTGTGCATGGCTTGCGATCATCCAACTCCGGCCAAATGGAGGTATTCCTACAACTACCGTTGCCCGTCCTTCGTGAGGGGCGTAATTGTGAGAGCTGCTCAAGTTACCGCACGTCTGCTGATCGCGTGTGCGTAAGACGAAAAATTCTCGAAAGCTTTCGCGTCTTCACCGTCAATTCATCAGATTCTTTTTCTCTGCTCTTGTGCTTGTCGGCTTTCTCTAATTCTTGTGTGTGCTTGCCTTCTTTTTTTGTTTCCTCTCCATTCCTTTCAACACTCTGTGAAGGTTGCTCCTTCCATCCTGGGTGCGGCTGTGTGTGAGGCCGTAGCGTTCTTGGTGGGGGCTCTGACTGACATCCCTGCCCTAAGGCAGTTCTGTCTCGTCGCGGCTACCGCGGTGGTCGTCGGATTCGCGTTGCAGGTACAGCAACGTCGTTGTTGTTTTGTTCTTGTTGTCTGCTGCTGCTGCTGTTGTTGTTGGTGTTGCTATCAGTACCCCCTGGTACTTTAGTGCAGATGCTGAGATAGGAGGGGCGTTTGTTCTTGTCAATTTCCTCCGCTTATCTCTCTTCTCTGTCTCTCTGATAATTGTTCCCCTGAAGCTGACCGTTGTGGTATCCCTGCCGCGTAGGACAAGCAAGCCGAGGCTGCCCGTAGGCGGTGGCCGTTTTTTGGCTAGCATGGCATTGCAGATTTCGTTCTCATGGATATGTGTCTTGTTTGGCAGCACGCCGCGTGGCTCACCTCTCTAGCAAGCCACGCCGTTTGTGTGTTTGTGCTGGAGGGCGTGTCATTCGGAAACCGTGATGGTTCACCGCTGCCCTATATTCGCGTACAAGATTCCTTCATTTCGCTGTGTTTTCCGTCGTGTTTTTCATCTTTTCCTTCACCGATGTGCATATTTCCCATTGGTTGTTCCGCCGATGCCGTGGCAGATTTCGTGGTTCATGGCGGCACTGTGCCTTGATTCAAGAAGAGTCGGCCAAGGACGGCTCGACTTAGCCCCGTGGATGACGCTGCCAGAGGCAGACGACGATAGCGATAGGTACGATGCAGCTTGCCAATATCTGGAGGTCGAGTCTATGTATGCTCCATGTTACGTGATTGGCGCGCCCCACATTGCCTGGCGCGCGTGCTATGGTGCATGGTACTTGATGAAGGTGGGCTACAATACACGGCCGCACGTATATGCCCGAAAGCGCACACGATGACACAGCAGTATGTGATGAATTGTGTTTCGCTCCAACAGAGCGGGACCTTAACGGATTAAGGAGATGGCATATTTATGTTTCTGTACATGTAAAGATAACAGCCTTTATCATGCGCGATATTGTTTCTCCCGTTCACCCACTCAGGGAGAAAACGTGCGCAACACCGCGCGAAACGACGATAATCCCACTGATTGATACCAGTAGATCGATAGATCCATCACCCATTGCTCTTTTTCTTGTTTCATTGTATCGGCCATGTCGCCACTGCCGCTTGCTTGGCGAGCAGGTTCTGGTACAGCTCTCCGGAGAGCGGGTCCGTGCGAGATCTGACCGTCCCTCTGCTGGGGTTCCAGTCCCCGGCGGCGACGGCCGCGGCAGCGGTGGGACAGTGGCGGAGACGGAGGACGGGACACCGCCTGTCGTCCCCTCTCGCCTCCCGGCACAGGTCTGCGGAGGGGCGCACGTCTCCCACGAAAACAGGGGACACGGACTGGCTGTCCCCGTATTACACCTCCACCAAGAGGCAACCGGCAGAAGAAGAGGCCCCGCGGTCTGCTGCGACGGCGCGGGGGGGGTATGCTCGAAGCGAAGGCGGCGGCGGCGGCGGCGGCGGCGGCGGCGGCGGCCTCTACGATAGCGATGACGACAGCGTTACCGGCCGCGAACACCTCTTGTCCGTCGCCTCCGAGATTGGGTCCGGCAGCGAAGCTAACCCCGCGCTTCTCTTCGGGACACCCACCCGGCGAGCTGTCTCGACCTCAGGGAGGGGTAGCAGAGCAGCGGCTATCGCCAGAAGAAGAACGACGGGTTGCGATGGTAACGGTCGGGGTGTAGTAGATTCTGCGGGGAAAAGGGGATGGACGTGGGATCGCGGGGCGCGGCGCGGGTGGTTCGACGACCCGAGCGATTACTGCGACAACACGGCGGGGGAGCGGGACTCGATACGGACGACGATGACGACGTTGCCGACTTTGGCGCGCGAGGTTTCCGCCTCCCTTGGGGAGGCGAGTCCGTCGATGTCGACCATCGACGACGCCAGCACCACGTTGTCGAACAGCGGGCAAGCAAACGGTAGCGACAGCTGCGACAACGGTGCAGGCAATAGCACCGACAACAAAGGCCGCACTAGCAAAACCAACGGCAACGGCAGCAGCATCACTATCAACAACAGCAAGCCCACGAGCGGCATCGACAGGGGACACGCCAGCCGCAGCAGGAGCGTCAGCCCCTCTCGGCAAACGCACGGGGACGGTGAGGCGGTAGCGCCGTTCCTCCTCGGAGGAAACGTGGTAGAAGGGTACGTCTCTCTACCGTCCAACCAGCCCCCCCACCGTGGCTCGGGCGACGATCGGGGTGGGAGGGGGGCGGGTTTGCTGCTGGCGGGGCCCCCGCCGGAAGACAATGAAGAGGGGTTCGTCGGAGATGGTCTGCCTTTCGAAAGCGCAGGGGGCGCGGGTTTGTCTAATTTCCGGGAGCAGCTGTACGAGGAGGGGAGGGGCAAGGGCGCCTTGGCGTCAAGGTGAGCGAGAATAAACGCTGCCCTTCTTTTCGTCTGCGCGCTTTTTTCGAGGTCGTCCTAGTGTGCTGTTTTCCGTTCGAGGGTATACCGTTCGAGGGTATACCGTTCGAGGGTATACCGTTCGAGGGTATACCGTTCGAGGGTATACCGTTTGAGGGTATACCGTTCGAGGGTATGTAGAACCCGCGATAACTCTTTTGTAATGTACATGCAGCGTCGTAAGATGGGTTGGGGATATGACGAAAACGTGTCGCGTTGTACTTGCTTGCTTGCTCGCTCGTAAATCTCGCAAGGGTTGTGGCGTACATGGCCTGGAATCCGTGTGCGTGGGAACCGTTTTGAACGAAATCATCGGAGGCAGTATTTTCTCGTGTGTTTTGTGTCCTTATTTTCTCTAGCATCGACCGCGCTAACGGGTCGACTCAATGAACAGACTCTCTTGTCCAGTGACCTTCACGAAGAGAACCAGCGAACCTCCCGGTAGGGGAGACGGAGTGGGGTAGGAGGGGTACGAATAACAATATACCCCCCTCTGTTTCTGTTGACTTGCGGTCCCTTCGGGTCCAATTTTTTTATACAATTTTTTTGGGTATGTTCGTTTGCGACCACGCGAAGCGACCGCGTCAAGTGTCAGTTTAAACCGACCAGAAGAAGGTACTTGGCAGAGAGAATGGAAGGGATTTGAATGTGAAGACAACAACAAGAAGAACAACATTCCTCGCGACGGCCGTCACAGATGCCAGAGCCTCCGTCAGGCGAAAAGCGACAAAAAGTGTGCTGGTGTATGTAGGTGTTTGTTTGGCTTGATTTGCACCGGCCGCGAGCGCTATCCTGGTGTTCAAAGAAAACTCACGAGTCTTTTGTGTTTCCGGACGTTTCCCCGCGATTGAAGGTTCATAGAGCGGTATTACCTGCCGGCCCTGTTCTCGAGAGGAGGGAAGACCCTCACACTGGCCGTCGCTGCTGCTCTTGCGTGTCTGGGGTGCTTGGGTATGCGCGGACTGCAGATGGGGCTGGAGCCGCAGCTCGCGGCGCCCACGGACTTTTACCTTCAGGTTCGTATGGCCTGGCCTATGTAAGACTGACGTTGGTGGTATTGTTACTGGTGAAGCAAGTCCGACCGCTGCTGCTGGATGTTTTCTACCCTTGGTTTAATGCTGCTCCATGTTGTTGGTGTGATGCTGTATCCTAGTTGCTCTTTTTCTACTTTAGCTTGTGTCAAGTTCCGCCTGGTTGTAATATTTGGCCTTGTCGTTTGACCGAGCTATATAAGAGAAGTCCTTCCCAAAATCAAAAACGTAGATCGATCTACCATTTGTTGTCTTTTTTGCGGCATGCTGGTCTTGGCGTGCCCGGCAAGCGCCACGTAAGCGTGTTCAGTTCTTCATGCATGTGGTCTAGGTTGGTCACTACCTCCTACTTCCAGCACGCATTGCATGTTTGGCAGCAGCTATTTAGCGATGACCACTGCGCATGGCACAGCTTTTCGTAGGACAGGCCTTGTGGGTGACCAGAATTTCCACCAACACCGTGATCTCTCCCGCTCCTCTGGTCTAATTGTCCCGCGCGGCCGCCTGCCTTGTTTTATCCCCTAGGACTACTACGACGCTCAGTTCTCCATGGGGGAGGCGGGACCACCTGCATACGTGGTGTTCAGCGATTTGGATTATTTCCAAGCCTTCAATGACACCGACGTTCAGCAAGCCTTCCGCGGTGTGGCGACCGGCCTCGCACAGCTACAACGGCGAGTTCTTGGTTGATGTTGTTGTTGTTGATGATGATGTTGTGGCTGTGGCTACTGGGTGCATAAATGTCCATCTTTAGGATGGCATCGCTTCCGTTGGTGCGTTAGAAGTCGATTCGAGTTGTTGCCGTTGTCGACTGTCGACTGCTGCCCTGCAACACCAAGAGTGCCATGTTGCTTCATCCAAGCTTTGGGATGACATCGCTTCGTTAGAACTTGATTCGACTAACAGAAATGGCGGACTACATTGTATGTTATGTCCAAAGTGGCTTGTCGCGGTAATACTATTTTTATACCAGCAGTGCAGGACATCATAAGGGAGAGTTTTCAGTTGCCGTAGCGGCTATGGACTACTGTATGACTGGTGTATGACAAGATCAATCCCCCTCGGTGGAGCAGGTATGTGCAAACACCGATATACTCGTGGTTCGATACCATGGTGGCTTGGGTCAACCAAAAGGACACCCTGGCCGCTGACTGCCCGGCGCAGACTCAAATAACGTGAGTACTGCCGTCCGTATGCTACTGGTAGTTATCTGCGTTGCTGCGGTGACTGCGCTCGCTCGCGTTATTTTTTCGTTTCGACTACGTGGGGTGTTCTGATCAAATGTGTTGTTTGTCGGAGGCGTGAGTCGCGCCCTGGTTCTCTGTGTTACTGTAGTGTATGATGCTGCTCTCAATGAACTCTGTGAAATACGCTGATTGTTCGATTTTTTTAGGTCACTATGTTTTGCGTGGTTCATTTTTTTGTTGGTGCGGTACAGGGTGCGACGGTGACACCATGTTACTCTCGATCCGAAACTCAAGATACCGTGAGCCGTGAGTCCACCGTGGTTCACTGTTATAGTACATTACTGGAAGCGTTTCGCTCTTGAAAAACGCCACGCAATATTTTCGTATACTTGGATGTTTTTTTTTTTTTTCTGAAACAGGGACGAGGCCTCGTTCTACGACATGGTGGAGCTGTTCCTGTCGATTCCGATCGAGAGCCAGTGCTGCCAGTCTTACGGTGCATGTGGAGCGCAGTTCGACACCGATGTATCCTTCGACGAGTGAGTTGTTTTTAAGATTTGGGGCGGTGTTGTCGTTGGGATTCTATCGGGATCGGTCGTGTCTTTGGCTTTTCGCTCGAGGATCGTCATGTGTCAAGTGGTACAACACAGTTTCTCGAGGCACGTCAGATGGTTTTGCCGCAACCGAACGCGAACTGCGGTGACGTGGCCTTTTATCCCTTCGCCAGAAAACTGAAAGACTTGGTTATCATGGCCTCTGCAAGGTATGGGCACGCTTGGTATTTTATTTTGAAGTGAAGCATGAATCTGTTTACCACTGTGATAAGTGGACGCTGCAGAGGAACTGCGTAGGAATCAGGATCCTTTTTGTGGTACGTTGAGCTTCGAACCTTCGGGAAATAGGAGCTTGGAATCTTCGGGAGATCCATCGGCCGAATGCTGCCCATAACAACCAGAGCAAGGTCACGGCGGAATGAGTATCACCCCTGGGACCCACCCACCAGAACGCGCCAGTGCATTGAGCGCCCCGATTTTTGGCGCATCTTTCGTTTGGAGTGTTGGCGAAGAAAACCATTATATCAAGTGGGGGTACTCCAGGCTCGAATTTGATTTCCGACATGTAGTTGTGCATGTATGAGGTCATGTATGTATCAGCCCGCTGACTTTGACTTTGTTTTAGCAAACGAGTTAGCAATGACGCCGTTGGTCCGCTGTTGCCGCCATATACCACGTACTTCCACACTCACACGACTTTGGTCCGTTGTCCTGCGACCGGCAAAACATTCTAGATGCCAGGACCATGAGGGGGGACATGAATATCGAACCGCACTGACTACAATTTTTTTTTATCTTTTCGTGCCTTCATTCGGTTCTTCGTGCGGATTGCGCGGCGAAAAATTACAGCGGGGGAGAAGACGGTGTTCGAAGGATCATCGCCTCCCGCCTTCGGTTCAACATGCAGCCGCTCAGGACTCAACGAGACTTCGTAAACTCGCACTACTACGTTAACTTCGTCACCAATCAGGTGGGTTGTTTCCTCAGCGTATCGAGACTTTGTCAACTCGCACCACTTACGTTGATTTCGTCACCGACCAGGTTGGTTGTTTCGTCGCTCGTCGGAGATCTCGGAGATCTAGGCAAGCTGGTGTCGTCTGTTCATGTCGCCTTTGATATCTATCATCCGTGACTTCTAGTGTAGAGAAACGGGTTGTACGGAGGGCACCACAACATGGGGAGACAATCACGGTTATTTGCGCCCCGAGGCTCGTTCGCTGTTTCCCTGTGGGGTTGAAAGTTTAACAGTTGCGAAAAGGGTTGAACCTCAAGGTTCTTCAGCAAAGTTCTGAAGAGGTGGAGCATCCTGTTTCCGTCGTTTGGGTGTCTGGTGTAGCTTGTCGTCGTTTGTCCTTGCTTGTGCTGTTTTTTGCGCTTTGGTGTTTGCCTGGCCTGGTGTCATTTTTTGGCCGGCCGGTGTTTCTATAAGGTGAGTTGGTATTTGTCGCCTGCTTTGTCTTGGTTTAGTGGTGGCCGTTCGATGCCGATTGTCATCGTTTGGTCCTTACTATATCATAGCGTCTGCCGTGTATGCCGATCGATGCCTCATCTCAAACGAATGGCGTTTGACGACGTTCGAAGCTTGTTGCTTGTGTTGAATGGTGTTCGATGCCTGACGCTTGGTGATGCTTTGACGGGGATGCGGTCGCCGTTTGACGCCGTTCTCTCGTCACACCAGCTCGCGGACAAGATCCCGGAGAGGTACAAGGGCCAGAGAAAGGCCAACGAGGCTGTGGGAAACCTCGCCTTCCCGTACAGCCTGTACTTTACCTTTTACGAGCAGTACGACTTCATTCAGGTTCGAACGGGTTTCCCTCTTTTCGTGGTTTGCAAGAGTCATGGCTGTTGCGTCGTGTGCGTGCAGGGCTTGCCTTTTGTGTGATTATGTTCCCTCGCTTTGGAAGGTCAATGTCGTGGGTTCAGTAGTCTACGCAGCAAAACTGATTAAGCAAACATGTGGGATAAAATATTCAATCCGTTCTTTGGGGTTAGGGTTAGGGTGTGCGTGCCCCCGCCCTATTCTTTTTCTAGATACTCTTCAAATCCTGCGTGGGCGGTCCCAGTCACACCGTGGCACACCATGTGACTTGGCTGACGAAGGAAGGAAGATTTTTTGCAAGTGTTCTTGCGACCTTCACTCCTTTCCTGTGGTTTCGGCGCTGCTGCTTACAGGACAATTTTTCGACGTCGTTTTTTTCTTCTTTGCTTTCCCCCTCTGCTCTGCCCTTGTTTTTCGCACAGGGCGTGGCTCTGCAGAACGTCGCGCTAGCCCTTGCCGTGGTGTTCTTATCCATTGCGGTTCTGTCCGGTTTCGCCATCGCGACCATGGTGTCTTCCCTCGTGCTCGGTACAACTCTCGGCATTGTCGGATTGGTGAGAGCGAAAAGGCGCCCTTGCTCTGACGACGTTGCCGTACGATGAAGCCCTTGTGTTGATTGCCCCACCCAGGGAATGTTAGTGCGAAAACGTTCTTCCGTTCTTCCTGGCGACGTTGATAGGAAGCGCCTGCCTGAGGTGTTTTTGGATAGGAATGGGTGGGAGCTCAAGAATATTCCATGGGTGCTCTGCACGGTTGAACCATTGTTTCGGGTCATTTGAAGGGGCTGCAGTGTGCAAGCTAGCATCATGCACGGGTGACATGTAGCGTGCCGCGGCACCTTTTTGATGATTTTGGAAACAACCGAAAGCACACCCGAACACCGGACATGTAGGGCTACACATCGCTCTCCTTGTCTGATGTACCTTTCGAAGAATGACAACGAAACAGGTCTACAAGATCCCGGGAGCCGTTCCCCCCGTTAACCCTCCCTCTCCACCCCATCTCGTCAAACCACGGGTCACGCTGAAACACACGCCCCTTGCCTGCCAGGTGTGGGCGTGGGGAATGGTGTCCTTGGCACCATACGCCGTATCGATCAACGCCGTCTCTGTCTGTAACCTGGTGAGTTACGTCAATTTATTTCAGGTTGTTCGGCGGTGTGATATTTTTCATTTCCCACGCAGATGCAGTGTGATATTTTTCGAACATGAGACGTACCCTTTTAATTGTTTGATGTTGATATGGTGGCCACGTGTAGAGCAAAGTGTTCTCTAGCTCTTGCTCGCGCCTTCGACTACTCGTCCAATTGTTATCAAGAGAAGTTCGGCACTACTGATGGTTACGATAAGAGCTATTTTGTGATAGAAACGAGTACAGCGGCGAGTGCTGGGTGTTAACGTGCTCCGTCCGGTCTTGCGGAAAAATGTGGCAACCACTGCTGTCCAGGTGATGTCACTGGGGCTATCTGTGGAATTCTGCTTGCACGTGGCCATGGCCTTTCAACGCGCATTGGGAACGAGGTGAGCTGTGCGTCGTGTTGCGGTGGTGTCAGCAGGCTACATCCTTCTTGCACTGCTGTGCATGGGTTGTTTCTCGTTGTCTCTCGTTCATTCAAAGTTCTACGTCCTGTGTGTGACCCAACGTTTGACAGTAGTGCTGTCAAGTGGAGTCGTGCCGTACGACGTGGCGAATATATACACCATGTCTGCGGAGGTGTTCACAATGTTTTTAGTTATGGGCAACATCATGTACCTGCCAAAGCGAAACGATTGAGCTACGCCCCCCCCCCGCGCCGCACATGTTGGTTGCTATCCCTCCGGCAGGGGGCACCACGAACCCATCCACTCATATCATAGCCTCTATTAATAGCTAAGCTGTTTGAAACCTACTCAAGTCAGCGGGAACTCAAAGCACTGACCACGCGTGTCGGATTGCTACCGGTCAACCGATCATCAGGCAAGAGCGAGCGGAGGCGGCGATGAAGAGCGCGGGCGCCTCCGTGCTGACGGGAATCACGCTCACCAAGCTCGTCGGTGTCAGTGTTCTAGCTATTGCTCCCTCCCTCCTCTTCCGAGTTTATTACTTCCGGATGTACATGGCAACCGTGGCAGTAGGAGCCTTCCAGGTATGTGTGTTTGCCTTTCATATTGGCATCGTCCGCGCTAATTGGCTCACCAATGAACACTACGTCAGTGTCAGTGCATTTGGAAGCAAGAAACACTTGTCTTTTTTTTTGGCATCGACCGCGCTAACCGACTGACCAATCCAAAGGCGTCACTTGCCAGCGGGGAAAATTAGGGTCCCTGGAAGGAGGCCAAAGTTCGAAAAATGGGCATTGCACAATGTGCGATTGCCCTATTTTTTTTTTCTCCCATCATCGGATTCTGTCGTCTGCCCCTCTGGCCCCTATCCTCCACTTACTTCTACCAGCTAGACGACCCAACCGGGGTCACATAGGAGGGGGGGGCTGGACCCCCTCCTGCGGTTCCTGCCTGAGGTATTTTTATCGCGAGAAGGGTACAGCAATCCCTTCCCTCGCGACTTACGAAGTCGATTATGGTTTTCTAACAACGAGCTTTGCAACGCGTCGCTTTCATCCTAGACCAGGAATTATTTAGTGAGAAAAAACCTCACTCTGCCGGGACTCGAATCCATGACCTGGCCCTTAGAAGGCTGCGAGGTTACCCACTAGACCACCGGGGCGACCGGTCCTAATGTGTGTGTGTCGTTGGTACAACAGGTGGCCGCGCCTCCTTGTTGCTGTGATGTTGTTGGTCCTGCTTCCACCTTCACGTGTATTTCGCAGCCAACTCATTTGGTTAATCTTTGCGTGAAAGGAGGCAGACCGCTTGACCGAATAATCAAACGAAGGACCGTTGGTTGCTATCGACAGAGGACGGCGTTCTACAGCTGCAGCCCTCTTCCGCGTCAACAGGCCGTTCACGATCCCATCGATCTCCTTTTAACAGCATCTCCTTCAAATCGTTTTCCTCCTTCCTTCATGCGTTCCGTCATCACCGCCAACACTCCCGCAGGGACTCGCGGTGCTTCCCGTGCTCCTGTCCATGTGCGGGCCGAAGGGTACCCCTCCTCCGGTCGTTCGCCTCCCCAGACTGAACTCCTGGACACAGGACCAAGAAGACGGTTGGGGCGAGATGCACGATGACGACGACGCCCACTTCCCTTCGCCAAGCCACCAAGCCGACGACCAAGCCGGCGTGCACGGGGACAGCGGGGGTTACTACGAGTTGGGAGGCGGCAGGACGCCCAGGGGAGGAGGTGCCCTAGGCTGGAACCGGGAGCAGCGCTGCCACGGAGGCATAGGAGATGCCTGGGGGGGTGGTGACGCAGAGGAACGGTTTTTGCGAGATAATGGGGTCGCTGCTCTGTATCAAGCCGAGGAAGAAACGAAGGAAAGAGGTTCCATCCCGTCGGCGTAAGTCGCGCCGAACTGGTCGGTCTTGCATATTCAACGAAATTGATGCAGGCCGTAAATACTAGGTAGGAATCGTAAATAAATACGTAGGAGTAGATGAGCGATTATTAGGAACGACTTAAAACAGCATTGGCTTGTTAAAGGAACGAGATGTCGTCACGAAGGGTATCCCCGTGTTTTGCCCTGAGCAGTTTGGGTTGTCCGCCCGGAGCGACGATCGGCTGCGGGCCCGTCGCTTCGACTATAACAAGGACATGAGAGGTCACCAATTACCTCGAACGGTGTGTAGGACTGCATATCTGTGCGCGATCCATGTGATGCATTCCTCGACGACTACCTCTACCATGGTGATGCGAAGAGTGGTTACCCAAAACACGGGTGCTCGGTTGGCCCGGAGAAAACACGGCGCCGGTAGAGAGCCAGCTGTACCTCGCTCCAAGACTTGAGCGATTTGGAACTGAGTTCGGCCTAGAACTATCGTGTTGTAGGTTCATGTCCACTTGGGGACTTTTAGTTGCCTGTCAGGTGGTGCCCGTCGCGTTGGTGATACTGATTGTGATTTTTGTCTCGCGTAAGTGTTGTGATGTGCGCAACGTGTTGATGTGCCGACTTGTACTGTGAGGCTTGCTTGTGATCCGTAGGTAACTTGTGCGAGAGAGGCTGATGCGGCGGAGCACGCGAATTTCGTGTTATGAGAGTATCCCAAGCCGCTGCTGCCCTCGGACCTCGCGATGGGCTTGGTGATTCCGGAGGGCATCTCAACGTTGGCCTTGTGCCTCTTTGCGGAGGTGCTCACGAGCTTGTGATGGAAGATCTTCCCGGTTTCCGGGCTACAGCCGTCGAAAGCACCACAGTCTATCCACGCCAGAGTTGTGCGACCGCCTCTTCCAATTGAGAAAGAGATCTTGTGCGTGTTTGACTTGGACCAACCCACTGTCGATTTTGAATGGTGGCTGTCACGACCGAAACTGTCGTGCGGGGCCTCCTTTTATGGGGTCATGTGAGCAGCCTCTCTTCACGTGCTGGCGTTCGGGGCTGATCTTTCGAGCCCGCCACTTCCGCACTCCCCAGTATTACCGCAACGCTTTGTATTGTGGCACATATGCATACTATCTCGCTTTTGGCTCTGCATCAGCACACAACGCTGGCCCCGGTACTGATGTTGAGGCGACCTTGTCGACTCGTCCTGGCTCTCCTGTGTGGAGACGTACCACTGCAGTAGCGAGCGAGATGTGCCCAAGGAGGTCAACATGGTGTGGCAAACGAAGTCGGGCCCGGAAACAGAGTGCTTCAAGGTACTGTAATAGCCAGGACAACGCTGAACCACAACGGAACTAAGTCGTGTGCGATGCACATATAAATCGCCTCTACCTTCGCGATAAAGACGGGCGTCCCCACAGATGCTGCTTTGCCGCGTCAGTAGGCAGGACTGCCTTTGTGGGGGCGACGGGATGCTCGCAGGGCTTGTACAAACGCCGGAAACTGTAGGCCCAAATTATCGGGGACCCGAAGAAGATTACTCATATATCTTACACACAAGCACTCACTCTATTCTGTGCACACGGGAGTTTTTCGTCGGGAGGCCGTGAAACTCAATGAAATCTACGCTGCCTGTGCCTTGTTGGCATACCTAATGCTACCCCGCACGCTGACTGCTCACTGGAACAAGGGCCACGACCGTACAACAAACGAAAAATCTTTGAACTTGGCTCCCTGTCGCCATTTTCAAACACCGCTGGTATACACAAACCCAAAAGTTAATATCCCCGGAATGTTTGACGCACATTTCTATGAGACAGGCGCGCTGCGGCATGGCTTTGGAATGCTGCTGTGGAGCCCGGCAGCAGTAGCAGCAGCAACCGTAGACCCTGGCACCGGCAAGAGCTGTGGTGGTGGTGCCTCAGCCTCCGCTGTCATGCTGTTTGCAATCACCTGCTCGGTGCATCAGGCAAATAAGAAGACACAGCCATCGGCGGGGATAACCGTGATTCGCGTGCGGCAACAGGTTCACAAAAGGCTTGGCCGAGGCTGCTGTGGGGACGCAACCTCAGTACAGTAGTGCTCGATCGGATGGAATTTCGAACGGCACGGCTACTTCTGCACGTTACGCTACGCGATCCCATTGAGCTCCGCATCGTTTTTCGACGCTAATGATGAAGTGATGAAGTGATGAAGAAAGAACGGGACTACTATACTATTGTAATACTGTTCGAAACTGTCCAAGCTACAAAAAAGGTTCAGCTGTACATCCGCAGATTTGCAGGGAGAAAAAAAAACAGAAAGGCCAATGATAGCCGTTACCTCGAGAAGCCGCTCGTACCCCAGGAAAAGCAGAGCACTAGTAAGCACCGTGTGGAGGAGCTTCGCTCGCATGCCCTGGTACATTCCCCCAACCCCGTTTCGGCGACACACCGATACCTAAATCGAGTGGGTGGCCATGCGTGATGGGCGTAAATGTGAACAAGGGCCAGCGAAAGAGACAAGCACGAGGGTTTCTGCGGACAAATAGCGGCTTGTTTCCCTCGTCGTGCTGCACCACAGGTATTGCACAAACACACGCATCCACAATACGCCAGGAGATAATGAGCCCTCAATAGTGTACATGAATGGCGCTTGCTTTACGTGGTGTGCAAGACCTTGGCAAGGATGTCTTGGATCGGGAACAGCACGTTGGTAATCCATTTACTCCGGACTGGTGCGGTTGGTGCAGCTATCCTTGGGCATATCCGATTGCCTGCATTTGGTACCTTGCCTCAGTACCGACGTGGCTAGATTCATGATAAACCAACCACAGGTATACACGTATTTTCAGATCAACTTGATGGTGGGCGTGAGAAATGACTCGCGACAGCTCCGATGGGTTGAATCGTACTCACCAGGATATCCACAGTAGAGGACCAGCAAGTCAGCAACTGCCAAGCAACCCCGCTGCGTAAGCCCCCCCTTGCACCACCTGGAGGTGATGAATCGTCCTGCTCATTACATTGCCCCTGCCAATGGCCCTTTGACGTCACAACACACGCAGGAAAAGAGATAAAGCCAGAATCCAAAGAGGCGACAAAATGTGGGTTCATCGTGCTTTAAAAGCTGGGGATCGGCGGAGGTCGGGGGGAGGGGAGGGCCGGCTGCCAAAACAACCAAAAGAAACTGTCGCTCCTGTGCACTTATTGTGGGTCGCCCCACAGGCTAACTTTTAACCGATCTCAGCACGACCACTTTCCTAACGTGGAAGCCGGGCATTGCATAACAGAAAATAGCACCTCCCGTGGCCTTGGCAACGAGCTATCGTACATATGTGCCTTTGGCATTCATAAGCTACGATGAGTTAATCCTACTAAAAAACTGAACCAGGTACATGCTTCACAACGTCGACGGTCATGTATCTTTGAGGCGGATTTCCGCCGGGATATATATCCTTGGTGGCTTACCCCCCCCCGAGCTGCCCGACCAGCTCGCAGCTTCGCCTGGGCCAACTGTAACGGATACGTGACCAGTGTCGAGATTGTCTTCGCCGTGGCACCCAACAAAAACGCCTCGTGGCTCCGCAAACCCACTGACGGCCTGCCCGCACTCCCGCGGCTGCCACCGCCAGCGAGAGATCGGGGATCAGGTGGTTGTGCAATTATCCTCCGTGCGTCCCCGTTCCGGTGGCCGTGACGCCGGCCCAAAGCTTGCTTGAGCGTCTCGTACACGACGAATTGGATGATGGGATTCGAAACCAGAACGAGGGATGGGGCTGTGCCAGACCAGAGTCCTGCTAGGCCCTCGTGGCTGACGAGTTGAGCGAGATGGTGTTGCAGGGTCCGGTTTGGGATAACGTTACGGGAATTGATGTTAGGAGAGGGGTGGGTCCACGTCGTTGCAGGTGGCGGTGGTGCCAAAATGGCCGCCGCGCGATGGTTGGAATGTTGAAAAAGTCCGCCCGGGTGACATCGGGCAGGGAACGTGTTTGAAGCCGGCGGAAATGAAGGCAAGTGGCGAAGGTTCAGCAGTCAAAATGATTGCCCGCGTCGGGTGTGTGTGAAGGGGTGCGCGTTTGTGATGAATGCAAGATTGGCCGTAAATAAATGCCGCTGGTTGGGTACCGACAACAATGAGTTCTTCTTGGGCGATGAGCTCATCTGTCCATCCACGAGAAATCACGTGTGTGCGTATCCACCTCTCGTGGGAGGATCGAATCAACTTTCTCCTCAGACAGCTCAATATTTTCTTATGCGAAAAAAGTTACCGGGTGAGGACCACGTGATTTCCGCCGGGCAAAGCTTCGTGTAAGAAACGTTGGAGCGGTTCGGGTAAACATCAAGCTCTCGTGACAACGATACGTGAAGATATGCTTTCCAATCATTCGAGAAGAAAAAATATCCACTCGCTCAATTGCAAACCTCACCGTCCAATGGACCCAAGGGTGGAAAAGAGCCCTCCCACACCATTCCCGGCCTTGATTCGAAGGTTGGAAACCCAAAGCGGCGTCGTCGCCAAGACGTTAATGACTCCTGCAATCGTCGACGCGACCACGCTCTCAAGCGGGGTTAGCGCTCCCCCACCCTCTCCTCTAGCCCCCCCGGCAAAAGGTTTTGCGGCACCACCCGCCCGTACGCCTCGAGCCCTCAGAAGGCGTCGTCTCGACAGCAAGGCCGCCTGTGATGAAAACGGTGTACATTTAAGGGAAGATCGCTCGTTTCCGCGGGTTGCGTGCACCTTCACTATTTAGGGGAGGTTGTAGACATCTTGATAAGAATATTTGGATCCGGGTGGCTAGACCAGGTACTCACTCTTTAGGCGCGGGGGGGAACGCATGCACCAAAACGACTTGCTCCAGAGGGGGCAGGCGGTCCTTCGTTGCGTTCGTCTTCTACGCCTCAGCCCCCTCAACGCCGCATTGCAGGCAGTGTTTCCTGTGGCCTGGGCCGACTGCGCCTTTTTCCGGCACGTGATGGCAACACCCAACCAGCGGAAAGAGCCAGCACGCATGTCTTTCTCGCCGCCCCGCCCTTTTGAATGCACCATGGACTCTGGGGCCATCAACTATGCAAACGTTCCCTTTGTAGCACCGTTTCGCAAGCGCGTACCATTCGTCCACCGCACCTTCATGCCTGTGAAACAGTAGAAGTACACGAAGTTCGAAACGCCCATGGTGATGAGGACCGGCACCATCCCTCGCCAAAGCCCCGCCCTCCCGTGCCTCCGCACCAGGCGCGACAACGCGCCTAGCACGCCCGCTCCTCCCGGAGCAGAGCACTCCTTGGCCAAGTCATCGTCAACCTAAAAATCAACAGAGACACGAGGAATATTTGATCGGATCCTGCACCCTTTTTGAATTTCTCTTGAAAATTTTGTGCTTCCCCGACGACCACGTATCCCAACATCGGTCCCGCAGTTGGGGTCCCTCTATTGGGTGGGTGGTCGGTATTGGACTGATGGGATCTCTTGGGGCGGATAGTATAAGCTTTATTGAAGCTTCTGCACGAAAACCTCGCTCCGTGGGGGTATCTATGTACAGTAAGGGGTGTCAAAGCGGAAAATTTCCTGTAGGAAAAAATTCGAAAAAGCGTCCTCGGATCTTGCTGATGGAAAATCGACCAACCAATGAAATTGCACGGAACCGTCGGAACCTCCCGAAAAGACCCTCTGACGCATACGCGCGAGGGCGCGGCTCGCCTGTGTGCTTTGCGCCCTGCTATGGGGCACAGCACAACACCATTGCGCGGTCCCACTCTAGAACACATGCCTCATGACACACCCGAGCAGCAGCCGGGCGGTGAAGCCACGCAGACACCTGCCGCCGCCGCTGCTGCTGCTGAAAAAAACAGCAGCAGCAGCAGCAGCGGCGGCGGCGGCGGCAGCGAGGTTGAGCCTGTCTCTCTTCCACAATTTTCTTACTTTTGACCAACTCCCCCTTCGTTTCCTCCAGCATTCTCTCTACGATGGTGAGGCTGCCGCGTTCGATTGCGCGCCGCGTGTTATCTTCTGCTGACGCGGCAACCATACACTGCCCCGTCCTCTCTTCAAACTTCGTTTTGTTTTGATTCAGCTTTCGAGCAGCGCGCCTCCTGCCGCCGAACGGCGCGGATCTCAATTTTTTTTTTCGGACGGTCTGCTGGTGTGGGCGCTGCAGCCGCACTGGAGGGGCCGTTTTCAGACATGTAGATCTCGTGGTTGGCTGATGCGATTCGGATGCGGTTTGTTGTGTGGTATAGCTGTAAACCCATGGTAGAGAGCTGTAAGATCGCTTTTTCGAGAGGAGCAAAGGTCGCCTTGGGCGTGGAGCAAAGAGCCTAAAAAAACATGTTTTTTTGGTGTTGTTCGTCCGCCCTTTGACTTCAAGAGAATCCAACCCTACAGCAGTCACCTCTATTGGACCTGTGTCCAGGGGTGCGTAACGCATGAAGAGCCATGCTGCTGTGTGGACGCAGAGCTACCTGTACAAACAAATTCACTTGATGTATACTTTATTCAGTATTAACAGCGGGATTCTCAAGAACCAAAAAAAGAACCAAATCCGCGTGCCCCCCTCAAATTTTGCCGAATGGACCGGACGTTTTTTTGGTCCCAAATTCCGCCGCTTTAACACCCTTAACTGTATATATCGAATGTATTTGGCCATATGTCATACACCGCATGTATCGTATCAAATTTGTAATCGATCTTGCCAACGATCTTGTAGGATATTTCGATATTTCCATACGGTCCATATATGTCAACACATTCGCTACGTGTACGAAAAGCGCATGGTATGCATACATCTGCTGTAGCATACAACTGGTTTATGTAGGCATAGATGTTTCAAAGTTCAGAACGAAGTTGCGGTTCGAACCGCGAACCGCTCCTTCGGGCATCATAACAATCTGATTAACTACATCCAAGTCATTGGTCACTTGACTTGATAGAGCCGATGCTCAGCTGCTGATGTGTTCGCCTGCCCTCTTTGGAGGGACAACATCGACCCCACCCTCGCTCTTGCCCAAGATTCAAATAACGCAAGGGTTGTACAGAGTAGACTTGGGCTTGAAAATACGTAACACTTGTACAAACAACACTCGAGAGGGACGACAGCAAACCAAAAAGAACTCTTGCAGTCGTACATCAGATGTCATAGCGTCGGCCAGCAACCCCACTGCACTTCACATTAATCCAGCAGTAGGTCAACACTTCCTTGAACATGCTATATACACAGCAGTACAAAAGGCTAGAGGCCCCCCTTCGATCGCACCACCATATCGTTCCGCACCTACCGACGCATGTCTGTCTCCGCGCATTTTGTGCATTTTTCTGCATAATGGTTTCTTCGCCCGCCGCGGTGTGTCGCGTGGGTGCCGTATCAACGAGCTCTCGCAGTCTTCACTCCTCCCCCCAACCGACAAACCCTTGTACACATACTTTTCAGAGCGCGTCAGCTCAGCAAAGTTAGGGCACTCAGCCAGGAGACCGCACCTACCTGTAGAATAGCCCTCACTTGGTCCAACGGGTACAGCAAGGCCATGGCAACAACGGCACCCACAGCCCCCGACAACGCATGGGCGAGAGGCGGAGGGGATGCGACGGCATGTGCACCCCTCGATGGCAATCCGGCAGGGCCCATCCGACCCTCACGAGATATTGCTGCCCACTGCTGTGCGCAGTCGCACTGCTGCTGCTGCTGCCATGAAAAGCCAAAGCTCCGTGGTGCTTCGCGGTTCGCGGTACGGCATAGGTTCGGTCTTGAACCAAAGGCCGCAATGGAAAACCAGGGGTTGATATTGATATGTCCCCTGGTAGAGCCAGTCGATGTCATTGCACATGATGCGTGCTGCAGGCACTACACCCACCCACAGGCATGTCGGCGCTTCATCTGTCAGCGTACGAGGGAGATGCGAACCTTGTGCGAGGGAGGATTGAACTAGGACAAGATCCTAACGCGAAAGACGAGGTGGGTTTTAGTTGGTACCTCCATCTACTCTGCCTATGCGTTGTGATTTCTATCTTCAGATGCGTGTATCTCCGCCCCAGTCTCCCTTGACCATGTAGTTCTGTGATGCCACCCTAGAGTGGTGCGAGCGGAATTTCAAACTTTCTTTTGTGTGTCATCGACACTCCCCATACCAACAGCAATGCGATGGACGACGCGGCGCCATGCCAACCATCACGCGCGGCTCCGGTAGAACAAAGTTGGACAGGCACGCAGAGGGATACGGAGGAAACGCTACGAGGAGCGGACAGGGAGGTCCACAACAATAGCTTGTCTAGCGGGCGACGGTTGCCGTAACCCACAGCAACTGCATGATCCCCGAGTCATCAGTGAAGGGGGACAGCAATGCAGTCGCAAAGCTACAGACTGACACGAACAGGAGTTGACCCGCCCTCCGGACCTGTGTTCCTGTCTGGGGGGTGAAGACGAGTTCGCGAGGCGTTGTTGTTGCGCCCATACCATCAGGGCAGTCTCTCAGTTATTGTATTCACATTTTTCCAAGAACTGAAACGAGAACCTACTGTATAGGCCTCGCTGGCGGGAGCGCTTGGCCCTCGGCCCTTGATACCAGTAGCGGTGGTGAGGCCTGTAGCTCAAGAGGTGCATGCTGTGCTGTGGCAAACAAGTCCTCGTTGCAGAGCTGCGCAATGTAGGAGATCACTCGAACGTGCAGTAGAGACCAATTACCAGGTGTTACAGCCATCTCTTAGTGTGGACGATCATCTCGTGTATGTACGCTGTGTTAGAGGGACTGTTCTGCTATATGTGTACTGCGTACCTCACGAAGGGCGCCTAGAATAGACCGCAGAGACTGGAAACTGGGCATGCTCCGGAAGTGTGCATGCAGACGATCAGATCTACTGGTAGACAGAGCCAACGGGTTAAGAGACGGTCGAGTTTGTTCAAGGCCCGGTTGATTTTGCCACCACTAACGTTGCAGGTGTTGACAGAGGTTGCACTAGAATGCGAGTTCCAACCCCTTTCTTCCAGGACAACTAGTCTAGGCCACCAAAGAGTTGTTGCTAGTGATCGTTGCATTTTCGTTTTTTTCGTCATATTTTTGCATCCGTTCGTCCTGACAGGACGGACGAACCCCCCTGCATTGGGCTGCCGCGGGAGGACATCAGGCTTTGGTAGAGTACTTGGTGAGTGGCATAGGAACAGCCCCATTTCCCCATGTTCTCACACCGAGCTGCGAACGACGACAGGAAATTTCCACCGGGGGGTAGCACAAATGGATGTGTTGAGCTTGGCGAAAACAGAACGTCCGCTACCCGCCGACGACAAAGTGTTTCGCGCATGGTCTAGCCGTCAGGGATCCGGGAATAGAACTACACTGACCGAGGAGGGAATACGACCTGTCTCCACATGTGTCGTCAGCACAAGTCTTTCGCTTTGTTGCTTTTCGTCACCGCGACCCTGTTCTCCCCACGCCCGCAGAGCATTAAACATCCAAGAGAGTTTGATGTGAAAGAGACAGGTGGATATACGTGATCCTCCGCTGACGCTTGGGGCTATTGCATTTTCGACAACCTCGAATGATCTGACGATGTGCAATTCGTTCTTGTGGAATCATCCCGAACATTTCGCCGCTACCGCTCAAGACGCTGAGCATAACAGTACGAAGTCCCGGGTGGTACGGGCAGCGCAGTTTAGATGGCATTACGACCTGTATTATGGTGCGACCGGCAGTTTTTTTTTGGCGAAGCTCTTGAGATGACTGCCCAAATTGAGCATTGACATACATGCGCACAGCTGTGGAAGCCTCATACAGCAGCGCTCCCCTCCTCGTGTGTTCAAGGCCGGGCTCCCAGGGGCCTTGGTCAACACCCAGGATGAAGACGGGCTGTCACCCTTAGCGAGCGCTGTGGCTGCCAACAAGATTGTCGTAGCCGCCTTCCTGCTCGGGAAGTGAGTTGCTCTTCGGAGGGCGTTGAAAAATCATAGCATGTGCCGGTACAACCTCTTTGCTCCTTGACGTTTCGCTCCCCTGGAGGTGTTGTTACTCCCCAACATTTATGTGCATCCGCGCTTGGTCGGAGTTTTATTTTTCTTGTTGCGCTCGGCTTTTCGTGCACTACACTAGAGATTGGTGGCTTGGGTCTCCGCACTGTTGAGGATTTGAGGTGAAATCATGCTGCAGTCCTACTGGTCGCCCGACTGGTCCAGTTGGTAATTACGGTACAGCGCAGCATCTTGGTATCTATAAGACAGAAAGAAAGAACGAATGCAATATGTTTTTTTCTGAAAGGGATGACAATATGGCCGGCGGCGGTACCCAATTCAACACGCTTGGTTTTTGATCTCGACGTCAGTTTGCCGGACGCCCGTTGGCCACCGTGACCATCTACGATGGCAGTGAGATCTAGGCTTCGGCGCTGTGCTCTTGAATATCATGATTTTACGCCGCATCTCTGTCCCCCTCATGTGCTGCTCCGCTCCATTCTCCTACCCTTTCGGTATGCATAAACCACGTAGGAGCGTTTTTTTTTTTGTAAGAGAACAACGCCAACATCAATTCGTTCCCACTGTTGTCTATTCTCACCTGCCATGTCGCCTACCACGCTTCAGGGGGGCCGACCCCAAGGCTAGGACAAATTCAGGGCAAGCTGTTCTACACTTCCATAAAGCCCGTCCGGAGGTCATACGTCTCTTACTCCCATACCTTTCGATTGCCGATGTCAACGCTCAGGTATGGCCAACCAAACACATCTACAAGGCTGTGTCATTCGCCTAGGATGGATTCACCCACCCCCTCCGAACCATCCTCCCCCCCGGTGTTTGCCATCGGGGTTGGGCTTTCGTCGCTTGGCAGCGATGTTGTATAACAAGGCGATCACTTCGTGAACTCGTAAACCAGGATGACCGCTTTTTATTTTTCATTTTTTTTTTTGCGGTAACCATGAATCGTGGTCGAGTAGATTATGTTGTGCGGGGTCGAAAACCCTAACTCCGCGCAGAGGGGATAATCGCACCACGTTGTGTGAAATTGGTGAAGCACCCTCGAGGCAGTTTCACAGTGCTTACAACTGTCTCTGGAAGTGAAGCACCAGAAAACAAATAAAGTCATGCGCAGCTGTCATCCGTATGCAAGGAAGTAAGCACAAGATGCCGAACACCCTTAGCAGGATGCAGCGCACCCTTCATGCGACTTGCCGAAAACCTCAGGGCGCTTCGCGCTTGGTGATGTGATATCCTGGTCCCGTGAGAACCCGTCGTGCTCCGTCCCGGCGTTGTAGGGATGAGAGGTCAATTGTCCTCCGACTACGGCATGCACGGCTACGAGTACATCCATTTCGCACAGTTTTCCAAGTCTCCCGTGCGTCCGATAACCGGGCTTTGCCTTGGTCCTCCAAAATCCGTGGACGCTCAGGCCACGGTAGCTGCTTGCGTTGACTTTGCGCATCGCAGGAATGTGCACCAGTCCATCCGTCGGATGTGCGAGCACGTCGTGCTTCATATACAGGCACATAATGGTGGGAATTCAAGGCTAAATGCCCCAGGACATGGCAGCGCTTTCACAAGCCCCACGGGGATATACGTGTGTGTGGATGTACGAAATCAAAGACACACGGGATTATATTTGGATGCGGTCATTCCGATGGCTCTCAGGCGCTCTGCTCCTCTTGGTCCTCATTGACCGTGTTGATAGACGTGTGAGTGTTCTTCGTGGGGGGTACGCCATTGGGAACGGGGAAATACTCGCGTTTCAGCAAAGCCGCCGGGGAACTGGCTGCTGGCTGTTTTGCCCGACCAGTTTGCGCCCTCCGCTCGCTGGTGAGGAAAAATCTCATTCGAAATCATTGTCTTCGTCGTTCGGCGTGCGAAGGTCACCGTTTGTATCACAATACCACCCACAAAAGTGTCACGTGATGATTGACATTGATCGCTGCCAACGATCAGGACAAGTGGGGGAATACGCCACTTCATCGCTGTATCTGCGGGGAGAGCCAAGACCATCTTGGTAAGCAAGCATTCTACAACGGTGGATTCGTATCCCAAGCAATTCTGTGAGCGAACGTCATTCGCGATGCAGCAATTTGGGAGTGAAGCGCGACACCCAGGATCGTAGATTGGCTGTATCGTATGCGGCAGGCAGCAGAGCGAATTCTATTCTGCTGCCAAACCGCCAGTCCTCGCTAGTCGATGCTCGTTGGATTCTGATACGGTGGCTTTTCGGAGAGGAATGCAGGCGTGATGTAGTGGACAACCATGCCTCCTCGGATGTCGTGGCCAAACCATTTTCTTGTTGGCACCGACCATTTGCTTCTGAATCCCCAACACTGCTCTGCCCTGTTCCACGTACCATATTACGAAACGTGCCGCTCGGCTCTCCTGTATATCGTGATGACGAAACCGTTGGCGGGTTCGGACGCCTCGTCCGTGTGCAATTGTGGCGAACCATACCCTGCGCTATGCTTTGCTTTAGATGCACTCGACTTGCTGCTGGAGGCCGGAGGCAGGGTGAGTGAATTGTACGTCGCCGCAATGACCCTAACCCGTTCTACTGCTGGAACAGTTACCGTGCTTGTTCGCGAGGATAGTCGTGACTGGCGATCGGTACCTTTTTGAGGACACTCTCTCCCCCGAAAACTGTCAAAGAACCGCTCGGTACAGAGTCATGTGTGGGCCTTCATTTGGGGTGACTGGCATACCGTACACGTCAGGAAATGTTATGTAATGTTTTCTTTTTGTGGCGACGTGCAGTTAG